TGGACTTAATCAAAGTTTTAGCAAGCCCGACACATAAGGTGGATGATATATTTGTAGTGTTTCAACTTTGTTATCCAGTATAATAAGGGGGTGTTGAAATAAAATGGCGGATATGATATTACTACCTCTAGTGATTATGTAGTATATCTTCTGCCATCTTTTTTGCACGAGTATATTAATTAATAAAACTTTTATGAAGAATTCCGACAACTTTTTATGGCACCCAAGAGGAAGGATACAACACCAAAGAAAGATTTCTCAATAAAGGGAATCTACTATGGGGTTGTTTGGTTGCTAGTTAAAAGGATGCATTATATTTTGTTTAGGGTATTAAATATTTTTAAGCCTTTGGCTCAAAGAAAAGAAAAAACAAACTAAAATTTTCAGGAATTATAAATACCATAAGTTTCATTTTTCCTGCATTTCAAAATCACTTGATTTGGCTGAAATTGGAATCTTGTGCTTTTGTCTCAATCTCATGCCTCTAATTATTCACGATCTCGCTGCCCTAATCGTTGTCCTAATTAGAAATAACCCTCGCCTAAATCATGCGCTCTATCATTTGCATGCTTGCTAGCAATCACTGTGCTCATTCACATCCCCGTATCGCATGGGATGTCCCCGATCTTGTCCAAACCGCAAACTTGCTGCTTGTATGAACTTCTGTTGAGATAAAGAGTTGATTCTCAAACTCTATGCTTCATTATATTTTGGTAGGATTTCCTAGGAAGAGGAAGAACAAAATTACTTATTTTCTACGAATCTCCAATGCTATGAAGCACTTTTTTTGTGTTTACTGCACTACCAAAATGATTAGCATGAAACATATGATCTAATTGATTGATATAAAAAATTATAACATGAATAAATTAAAATTACTTAAGATCTTGTGTATTTTGGCTTCTTATTTTTTGTAAATAAACAAAAAATAATAATCATAAAACACTACATTTATTATACTTTCATCCAAATAAAAAATTTGATTGCTCTACATTTAATCATTAGCACTCAAATATTATTGAGAAATCAATATACATTATGCTTATTTTGCTCTACATTGTTAAAGTGCATGAATTCTAAATTTCTATTAATAAATAACCCCTATGTGCTACAAAAGGGGTGATCGGGTGAAGTGCATAAGATAAACACACACTTCCACAACGGTTGGCCACTTTGGGGGTAACTAAGATGTGCTTTAGAACCTACAAAGATACATTTACTAGATAATATTTTATATTGATTTGGCCCAATTTATGAACGGATGTGCACTCTATCGCACCCCAAGATATTCCAACGAAGGATATCGATTGTACACTCCTCTACTTGTGCTGACTCAAACATAGGGGAGCATATCCATGGACTTCCTAGCAGGATTGTCATCAACATTTATTGATCATAATTATTTTCTATTTATGGTAGATGAGTTCTACAAAATGATAGCAATTACATATAAGCAACCATAATTGCAGAAGACAAGTATCTTGGAGGGACTCTCAATATCACTTAACTAGGCTCGATCATCTCGGATCGAGACTCCCGCTTCCTCAATTTGTTTTGAAAATTATTATGATGGATACTACTATAAAGAGTAGCACAACCTTCCATCTACAAACTAATGACCAAATAGGTGGTGAACAAAATTGTTGTGCATCTACTACGAGGATTTAACACACATCATCCAAATACTTCATATGAGATTATGTTGGCATTCAACATGATGACACATAGTTCAACAGGTCGAGCTCAACACTCATGAGATATATGCAACAATCTCTTCAACTTGGAGTTCATGATGGAAATATTGACCAATCTCAAGAACCATGATAAAAGTCTTGTCTCAGAGGATTTCATCATATCCCATATTCCTAGGTACATCACCTTATGAATATGAGGCTTTTGTATTATTGCCCTATTTACTTTATTTTGTCTTACTTTTTATTTCCATGTGTTGAGTAACACCCTAGAGATCTATACCACTAACAATAAATAAATAGGTATTGGAGAAACTACTCATATCCCTAGCAATCCACATTCTATCAATCATCAAGGAGTTACTCCTTAGACCTTGACATTGTTGGAGTCAAAATTGCACTCACCGAGATTATATCGCAGAATGTCACAAAATCTTACCAGTTAATCCTTTCACTCATATTACTCAAGACTTTCAAGCAATTTATCAAGTAACTTAACAGAACAATGAATGTCCACAAACACACTAGCCATTATAGGAACTCAAGAAAATCAACCAAAACTAAACGTACAAATAGTTCAAGCGATTAAGGAGAATGTAGTTGCTCAAGCTAATACAAAGAATGAAATTCCATGGGTTTCACATGCTGGTGGAGGAGAGATGGCTTGAGTTAGGGGGCATTCTTTAAATGCTTGTCTTGTTATTTGAGATTCAATCAATTCATGATGTCCCATATTCCCGAGGAATATCACCTTTTAGGCATAAAGTCTGACAAACACCATATGATCTACAATATTAATAACTCAAATTAGAATCTCACCTTACTCCCAAATTTTTGGACAGGTAGGAAAATGCTGATTCAAAATAAGTTAAAGTTTTTATTTAGCAATTTTATAGGATGTTTGAATGCAAGATCTATCCAATATTTAGCAAGGATTTAGGCTGAATCTTACAAAATAGTTTATTAAGGCTCATAATTTCCACTGCCATGGAAAGTATGATTTAAATCCCACTTTTCAAGCCACATAATTCCCACTGCATTCTTAAATCTTATTTTCCTCAGGTTTAGGCTAAAGCACGGATCCTATGGAAAATATGGTTTGAGAGATTTACATGACTTCTCATCACTACGACTACTCTTCTCCTTCATTCAGGCAATTAACTAAGATTTAGCCATATTTAAAATTTATCATGTCAAGCAGTTTTCAGATATTAACCCCTCCCAGATTTACTAAATCTGCATTTACAACATTTATTAAATCCTAATTGTAACTAGAAAGCCCCTGGGATTTCTCTCCTTTAAACTTGCCAACGCAATAATTAAGCAGACTTCAAGGTTCAATTCAAGTTAGCAAGTCAATCATCACAAAAATATATGTATAGTTGAAAATTATCAGAATTGATGAAGCTAAAAAAATGTAGACTTCTATTGAATTAGGTTAGGATTTCCTAGCCATGAGCTTAAGGAGGAAGGAGAATGCTCGGAGGTAAAGATAACCTCACTCCGGCAATCAATATCACAGGAGAACACGCGGCCACCGGCCTCCTTCCGTTGCCTCAGGGGATCAAGTTTAATAATAATAATAATAATAATAATAATAATAATAATGAAGACCGAAAGTAGAAGGA